TAGAAATTCAGTACAAATACTTACCTTATTCCTCACTTCCCCAGCAGCCGATGCTCTCCCCAACTGTCTGATGCTCCAAAATGTGGACAGGCCCTTGATGTCCTCTTGTACAATAAAAAGGCTGCCTTGGTTCTGCATTGTACGTGATGATGTCAGAGAGCTGCGACTGGCAGGGCAGCCAAGTGAAGCAGCTTTGGGAGGCTGGTCATAGGGAGAGGAGAAAGCCTATGGGAGCGAGGAATAAGGTAAGTATTTGTACCTTTTCCTTTCCTAGCTAAATGAACAAAATTAAACAGCATCCCATGGCCTTAAATTGCAACTTAATGACTTTCTTGGCAGAACAAAGGTATTTAAACATATACACTAGAAAACATTTCTGTATCTTCCATGAAACAATTTCGTATGCTTCCAGTATGGACCCAATTAGAAAATGACCTCTTTGCAAACAAAATTGACCTGTTCAAGTGCTGGAACACAAGCTTATTTAGCAACACAGATGCAGCTATACTATTTACCTTTCAGTCCATTTACTATGCAAACATAAAACCATGAAAGTTTATTCATCGTTGTGGTTTTAAAGTAAAGAGGAAACTCCCTGAATCTGTTTTATTCTAAAGGTTCTGTAACTTGAAAATTTAAACAGATCTGACTGTTCCAGTAGGAAACAAAAGTCTGTGTAAACATGGACTTGATGAAGTTTCCCGATTATCTCTATGTAAAATGAATTGGCCGCAAGACTTTTTAATGAGGTAATCATCCAAGGTTGACTCGTTGGTAGCAGAAACTACAGCTGTGGGGGTGAGGAAGATTCATCAAGCAAGGTACAGACTGTATCCGGCAAATATCCAGTATAAATTCAGCTGCATCTTGTTTATCAAGGCTGGTTGTCGAAGGCAAGTTGTATTTCTCCAACGTTCCCTGGATGTAATTGCAATGTTGAAAATGTTGCATGTATGACATCCTTTAAACTTTACAAATTTCTGCAAATCTTAAAGCACAGTTACATATGAACTGGCCAGGAGCATATTTTTTTACTATTACATAGCAACTGGCAGGGAAGAGTGAAATTGATCAATGAAACTACAATCTTATAATACTTATATCATCATGTGCTTCATTTCTGCACACCTTGTATGATTTTAGACCCCCACCAAAAAAAATGCTTTTCATGTGTAGTCCTGTCTAAAGACACAAATCATCATCAAATCCAGTTATATAATTTGGAAAAAGTAACAATATTATCCCAATTTTAATTTTTAAAGAATTCACAAATTCGTTTGCCAGCAGTTCCTTATACCAAAGGACATTTCAAGGTTCCAGGAACAAACAGCTAGTATCCACACAGTTCAGTAGAGACTATGGTTTACCAACGTGACATAAGATCTGTCCCTGTATTTAGACTGTTGGCAAGTATGGTACAATGAAAGCTGAATTGATTTACAGTGAGACAGGGCTAGGTAAAGCATACTGGCCAGGAAACCACATACATATAGCCTATAACCTGGACTTCTTCTGTTTTTGTATATGAAACGCCAGGCTCCGACTGCTCACCTACAGATGTACATGTGATAAGTTATTAATCATGACAATAAAACCTTGAATATCCCTTGACATAAAGAATAAATCTGGCAATGCATAACTCACTAAAGGACATTTAACAAACCATTTTAATCCAGTAAGCAGAAGGTAAAAAAAAGACCAGTAATCTAAATATATATTTGAGAGCAATGCTTTCCAGGAAAGCGACCTGGTTGAACATGGGGAACAGCTTTTTGAAAGGTTTCCCCCTCATACTAAGTGGGAGAGGTTTGGAACCTTGATGTTGAGGTCACCAATGTTGATATTGCGTGGTAATTCTGGTAAATTCATACTCTTCACAGCGGAAACTGCTCTTGCTGGAGCTGCAGAGAAACCAGTCTGACCCAACAAAAAAGGAAACAGAAAAACAATTAGTAGACAGAAGATGTACCTTTATGTAACTATTTTGCAATATAATAAGCTAGAATGTGTATGATTACACATTTAAGTAGGAAAGACATTGTGATGTTTGGGGATATTAACACATATGGTGAGCGCTTAAGAATGCTGTCTACTCGCAATATCTTCGGTTTAAGGGCTTGGTAGCCCACGTTTATTCAAAATAAAGTTCATACATCCATCTTGGATACCCTCGCAGGGGTTGTTCAGCATAACATTCATGCAAGGCTTCAAACAACACAAGAATAGCCTCCTGGCTTCCACTTTAAACATTAGCACTTCTGACCCACTGGTCCTCTTTGAAGTTCTGTCCCACACTTGTACTGGTGGCCCCTCAGGCTCACAGCTCTCCTAGCCTCACCAGTTCTCTCCCAGAATCCCTGGCTGTCTTAGTGTGCCTCCAGCACACACACCACCCTACTCTACTTTAAATTCTGGGGAAGTCCTCCTGACTCCTGAACACCGTCCGTTCCTATCCCAGTAGGAGCTCGCTTGACTCCTCTCTGACTTCTGGTGGCATTCTCCTGACACCTGAACACGGTCTGTTCCTCTTTCCCAGCAGGAGCTAATTCCCCTAGCGAGCATCCTTTTCTTAATAGCTGTGCACATCTGTGCAATTATCGAGTGCTGGCCACTGCTAAAGCCTGGACCCAGGACTGGGGATCTCATCTTTCCTCCTGAATCACCTTGAGTTTCTGAGTAAATAAGCTCTCTCCACTACAAGGAAGAGCAGGATTAAGAATTAGGTACATGACAATCTGGCACCAGTAGTGTTCACTGTAGGCTTTTGAATTTAATAAAAAGTGAATAAGTGAGTCACTCTTATCCAAAGCACCCCTCTGACCTCTAATCTATGTCTAACACATAACCAGACCTAAGTACTTAACCTTAACCTCTACCCAACCCTTAACATATAAACACATAAAGTAAACTCTAAAATTACTGCATCCCTTGACCTACCTCTTAACACTTTTACTAGCCTTGAATCCAAATACTTAACAGATCACATAACTTAACTAGCCCTCTACAATTGAGAGATATACCACCAGACTCCCTATGCTAAAACAAACTGCTTTAGGAACAGCAGCAAAGTGCAGTCTTTATGTAGCATTTTTGTCAAGGATGCCGCCATGTATGTCAACTTCTGTTTTCAGCTTCTGTGTGAAGTCCATTGTATAACAGATTTTCATATACAGCAATTTTGATGGCGTCCACATAACACAACATATATCCAAACTAAATGTGTGCAATAATGTAACTGCACATTAAAAACTAGTAACATTAGACAGCAGAGTCACTATGCTCCGAGTTCAGGAACCACATTGGGAGCAGGCTGAGAGCTTTACAGTCATGTGAAAAAGTAAATACATCCCATGAAAATTGTTGAATTTTTCAACATATCTGAACAAGCAAACATTAGATCCTCATTCAAACAATGCCTACAGATAAAGTTGATATACTTTAACAAATGACACATAATATTGACATGGTGCATTCATCCTCATAATCAAAATTAACAATATTGCAGATATATCACATGAATAAAGTAAGTACATGTAGATATGTCTTATTTAAATCTCATACATATAGGGTCTGGTGTTCTCTATTGATGTGTGTGTTGCCATCATGCCAAGGTCAAAAGAGCTAAGACCCCCAGTAGGAAAGTTGTGGATGACAGGAGTCAGTACTATATAAAACAATTAACATCAAGGATTGGGCATTATATACAACAGTAACCTGGATTGCAATGATTGAAGTGGGGTAACAAGCTGACGCCTTTACTTGCAGTAAATGGAGGTCTGCAATTCAAATGACTTATGTAGAAGTAAGACATACAAAAATAAAAAAATATCTACATGCTTACTTTCATTAGCTTAACTACTATAAACTTTTGAAAGCTGATACTTAATTTGTTGAGACATTATTTGTGTTTCCTTATACTTTGTTGTACAGTAAGAAATAATGTCAAAGCTGCTTCTATGTTGAATTATCTTTTATAAATTGTTATTTTGTGGCAGACAAATCAAATGTTTCCTTGAGAAAATGTGGTTATCTGTACAGATGTTACTGTAGTTTAGTAAAGAAAAACAAAAATACAATTTTTCTTATCTTAAGATAATTCTCTTCAAAGTTCTGACAAATGTTGCAACTCTAGTTATAGAGCTGAAAAGTGACATTTCAATATTTGACAAATGCTGGGATGTTGAATCATACTCTGGCGTATTTTATCACCCAGACATTCCAAAATTAAGATTTCACTGACAGAGTTCTTAGTTCTGTCTACTCCCTCTCCCCCAAAGTCTCCCTCCTGCTGCAGTTAGGGGTTCCCTCATCACCAGATAAAAGGCTTATTCGTTATTTAACTCTCTAATATCTAAGGAAGAGGAATATATGTTAGGGTCTGGAACTCACTGCCACAGGCGGTGATTTCAGCAAATAATGTGGAATTGTTCAAGAAACTTTTGGACGATTTCTTAAGGGACCGTAATATACAGGGGTACGGGTACTCCTAGAATGAGATCCTAATAGGTTGGACTTGATGGACTAATGTCTTTATTCAACCTCAAATACTATGTAACTATATATGTTTGAATGGCTTGGGACTTTCAGTGTCAAAATAGTAATTGTGTTAAAGTATCTAAAAGAAAAGTCCTGGGTTGGATACAACAAGCAATCAGATCAGGAATACTAACCCTTACTCATGGAACTTACCTCAGACTTTTCAAGCTTGTTTTGTGCTTCAGCCTGTGCAACAACTTCATTCATATTGGTCTCCAGAACCATTCCACCCATCACCATTTCATGTAATATATAATGTACCTAAGGGAAGATGAGAATGTAAACCATCAAAACGATGATGTATTTTAGAAAACAAATACACAGAGGGAAATGTATCTAAACAGGAGCTGTTTTTCATAGTAATCAATCAGCTTCTCTATTCACCCTGTTCAGTTAAGCTTTGGAAATGAAAGAGAGAAGCTGATTGGTCGCACGGCACAGCTTCCCCAGACTTTGTCTGCTCCAGTTCTGATACATTCCCCGTCATACAGTTTATGTGCCTGCTGTTCGAAATGCCCATGGACTAAGGCCCAGTTTGGGGGCTGAAACATGTAAGCATTTGTTTGTTTGTTGCTGATTATGCCTTTTTACAAATAAAGTACTGGATGGACGGATCCCCTTGTGAGTGCCGGTTTTTTACCTGTTGGAGCTCCCAATGTACTAAAATTTCTTTGAAGAGCTATGTGATGTCAGCTGTACATTTATCTCCAATGTGTAATAATCTTTATTCTTTTCTGTATATATTTACATGTTTCTAATGTTGTATTATGTGTTTCTTATTTTGTGCTTAAATAAGCAGAAATAAATATACATCCGTCTTAATCATCCTGTGATCCATTTTATGCTTATATTGAAGAATTTATTTTAGCTACAAAACAAATATTTTACATTGTAATATTCCAGTCAGATGGGGTCAAAAGTACCATTACTGCTAGTTTACATTTGAGTTGCTATTCTTTGTGTGTTATAAAATAATACACAAAGGATGTAAAAGGATAAAAGGATTATAAAATGATAAAAGGATCATAAAATAACACACACTAAGAATATCAGTTTCCAAAAGGCATATAAACCTGCAATTATTTTTCTATTGTTGTGAACAGGGCCGTATTTCCCACAAGGCCAACCAACGCTCGGCCTTGGGGCAGCAGGGAGTAGAGGGAGTAGAGGGGCAGCAGGGGTGTGGAATTCCTATCTCCCGATGCCCAGAACATGAAGTTCCGGGTGCCGGGCGGGTAAGGGGCACATTGAGGAACTTGGCCTTGGGGCAGCAGAGAGAGTAAATCCGGCCCTGTTTGTGAACATGCAAATTATTGAAGTTTTAACCTAAAATTTTTTATATTTTAGGTCAAAATGCAGTGTAGAGAGCTTGACCTGAATATAAAATCCTTGTGAACTATGGCAGTGGTGTCAAAGTAGAAATCCCACTTGCTGAAACAAAGGGGTTAACAGAAGACACCGGGCTTTCTCTAAGACCCTCAGCTCATGCTTTCTTTCCTTCTTTTCCTCCCCTATCTAGAACCTCTCTAATTCCTGTTAGTATCTTTGTGCTGTTCTGTTCCAAGCCATGAACATCTGTTTTCCATTTTGTGTACAATACAATACAAAATTCTTAGGCGGTCAGCCCTATCTCAGTTGAATGATATACACAAAAACATCTGCGTTATTGATTCCCTATCTATAGTGTGCAGCTGCCAACACTTAGAATGTGTTATCACAAACCAAAGTGAGAAAGCTTATAGTGTAGCGCTATCACCAATGACAAAAGCAATTTCTACTAAACACTAAAACAAATAAACAACCTATTATCATGAACTAGCATAATACTGCATTACAATCTATTCCAAAGTCCATGTCATAACCAGTCACTTAAAACTTGATAACCTTGCAATGGTGATCCAACAGTTAATGAATAGTGCTATGTAGATGCAGATGTATTCCAGATCTCAGTACATTTAACTGTGAAAATATAAACCCAAAACTTCCACTTTTGTGCCTCTCCCCTGGTGGTTGGACCCAGTGTTAAACTAAGGTCAGAAATCGATTGTGTCCCTTCTATGGGGGATGTGTGCAGTGCGCTTCCTCTAGAACTTTTGCTGATGAGTAACCTGGGATCAGGTTTGTGCTTCTTCCTCTCCTATGGGGGATTCCGGAAGTGATATTCCTCTGATGATTCAATCCATTTATACTAATTGCCAGGGGTTTATAATTTACCTTATTTAAAATCTCTAGGTACTGGTGGTCAGAGGAAGGTGGCCTATAACGTACCACTTTAGGGCTTGTACTGATACACTTTGCACTTCAGGCTATACTGTCTATATTGATACACTTTGCACTTCAGGCTATACTGTCTATATTGATACACTTTGCACTTCAGGCTATACTGTCTATATTGATACACTTTGCACTTCAGGCTATACTGTCTATAGTGATACACTTTGCACGTCAGGCTATACTGTCTATAGTGATACACTTTAGGCTATACTGTCTATAGTGATACACTTTGCACGTCAGGCTATACTGTCTATATTAATACACTTTGCACTACAGGCTATACTGTCTATATTGATACACTTTGCACTTCAGGCTATACTGTCTATATTAATACACTTTGCACTACAGGCTATACTGTCTATAGTGATACACTTTGCACGTCAGGCTATACTGTCTATATTGAGACACAGTTAATGAATAGTGCTATGTAGATGCAGATGTATTCCAGATATATATATATATATACTTCAGGCTATACTGTCTATAGTGATACACTTTGCACTTCAGGCTATACTGTCTATATTGAGACACTTTGCACGTCAGGCTATACTGTCTATATTGAGACACTTTGCACGTCAGGCTATACTGTCTATATTGAGACACTTTGCACGTCAGGCTATACTGTCTATATTGAGACACTTTGCACGTCAGGCTATACTGTCTATATTGAGACACTTTGCACGTCAGGCTATACTGTCTATATTGAGACACTTTGCACGTCAGGCTATACTGTCTATATTGAGACACTTTGCACGTCAGGCTATACTGTCTATATTGAGACACTTTGCACGTCAGGCTATACTGTCTATATTGAGACACTTTGCACGTCAGGCTATACTGTCTATATTGAGACACTTTGCACGTCAGGCTATACTGTCTATATTGAGACACTTTGCACGTCAGGCTATACTGTCTATATTGAGACACTTTGCACGTCAGGCTATACTGTCTATATTGAGACACTTTGCACGTCAGGCTATACTGTCTATATTGAGACACTTTGCACGTCAGGCTATACTGTCTATATTGAGACACTTTGCACGTCAGGCTATACTGTCTATATTGAGACACTTTGCACGTCAGGCTATACTGTCTATATTGAGACACTTTGCACGTCAGGCTATACTGTCTATATTGAGACACTTTGCACGTCAGGCTATACTGTCTATATTGAGACACTTTGCACGTCAGGCTATACTGTCTATATTGAGACACTTTGCACGTCAGGCTATACTGTCTATATTGAGACACTTTGCACGTCAGGCTATACTGTCTATATTGAGACACTTTGCACGTCAGGCTATACTGTCTATATTGAGACACTTTGCACGTCAGGCTATACTGTCTATATTGAGACACTTTGCACGTCAGGCTATACTGTCTATATTGAGACACTTTGCACGTCAGGCTATACTGTCTATATTGAGACACTTTGCACGTCAGGCTATACTGTCTATATTGAGACACTTTGCACGTCAGGCTATACTGTCTATATTGAGACACTTTGCACGTCAGGCTATACTGTCTATATTGAGACACTTTGCACGTCAGGCTATACTGTCTATATTGAGACACTTTGCACGTCAGGCTATACTGTCTATATTGAGACACTTTGCACGTCAGGCTATACTGTCTATATTGAGACACTTTGCACGTCAGGCTATACTGTCTATATTGAGACACTTTGCACGTCAGGCTATACTGTCTATATTGAGACACTTTGCACGTCAGGCTATACTGTCTATATTGAGACACTTTGCACGTCAGGCTATACTGTCTATATTGAGACACTTTGCACGTCAGGCTATACTGTCTATATTGAGACACTTTGCACGTCAGGCTATACTGTCTATATTGAGACACTTTGCACGTCAGGCTATACTGTCTATATTGAGACACTTTGCACGTCAGGCTATACTGTCTATATTGAGACACTTTGCACGTCAGGCTATACTGTCTATATTGAGACACTTTGCACGTCAGGCTATACTGTCTATATTGAGACACTTTGCACGTCAGGCTATACTGTCTATATTGAGACACTTTGCACGTCAGGCTATACTGTCTATATTGAGACACTTTGCACGTCAGGCTATACTGTCTATATTGAGACACTTTGCACGTCAGGCTATACTGTCTATATTGAGACACTTTGCACGTCAGGCTATACTGTCTATATTGAGACACTTTGCACGTCAGGCTATACTGTCTATATTGAGACACTTTGCACGTCAGGCTATACTGTCTATATTGAGACACTTTGCACGTCAGGCTATACTGTCTATATTGAGACACTTTGCACGTCAGGCTATACTGTCTATATTGAGACACTTTGCACGTCAGGCTATACTGTCTATATTGAGACACTTTGCACGTCAGGCTATACTGTCTATATTGAGACACTTTGCACGTCAGGCTATACTGTCTATATTGAGACACTTTGCACGTCAGGCTATACTGTCTATATTGAGACACTTTGCACGTCAGGCTATACTGTCTATATTGAGACACTTTGCACGTCAGGCTATACTGTCTATATTGAGACACTTTGCACGTCAGGCTATACTGTCTATATTGAGACACTTTGCACGTCAGGCTATACTGTCTATATTGAGACACTTTGCACGTCAGGCTATACTGTCTATATTGAGACACTTTGCACGTCAGGCTATACTGTCTATATTGAGACACTTTGCACGTCAGGCTATACTGTCTATATTGAGACACTTTGCACGTCAGGCTATACTGTCTATATTGAGACACTTTGCACGTCAGGCTATACTGTCTATATTGAGACACTTTGCACGTCAGGCTATACTGTCTATATTGAGACACTTTGCACGTCAGGCTATACTGTCTATATTGAGACACTTTGCACGTCAGGCTATACTGTCTATATTGAGACACTTTGCACGTCAGGCTATACTGTCTATATTGAGACACTTTGCACGTCAGGCTATACTGTCTATATTGAGACACTTTGCACG